GACCCAAGCAGTACATAACTGACGAAGTTGCTGCTGAATTCGACATTGAAATCCTTAGGTTGCCCATAAAGCACTGTATGCTGAATCCGATAGAAATTGCTTGGGGTGGTAAGTTTGTCGTCTCTTTTATCAGTTACTAATTCTGATTTTAGGCATGAAAAACTTTATTCGAGATCAAAATACGACATTCAAATTGGAAGAAGTTCGTACATTGGTCTCTAATTGGTTAGCCGCTTGTGATGAAACAGCGGCCACTGTATTTTTTCACCATGTTCAGAAATATGAAGAAACATTTAAAAAAGCCGATCATTTTATAGAAACAATTGAATTAACATTAGTTGATGATGCTGATGATGACACTGCTGATGACGATGCTATTGATGATGATGATTCTGATGCTGCTAGTGATGATGATGAATTAAAACTCGGCATAGGTGAAGAAGAGGATGAAGACAATTGACAATAATGTTGTGAACACTTACATATACTTTCTTTTGCTTTTTATTGATGTATATAACATTACAGATTTTTGTTTTCAAGTAGAATTTCGTGTAAAACCTATCATAAACCAAAGAAAAATATTTCCATGCTATATAATATGGTGAATAAGATCTGTGTCACATAAATTTTGATTAGCTTTTCTCGTTCCTTGGATTGTTTTTGTTTATATTATCAATTATTCTTTGTTAATTACTCTCTAAGTATATGATGAGTCATCGTTAGGATATCTGTTCTTTTTCCTCTTATGATCACATAATAAATGAACAACTCTAACCTACGTTTCAATGCATTCTTGAGAATAAGGAATAATGAAGAATAACCATCAACCCCACTTTTGGGAAAATGATGACCATTTGAGATCCTTAAGAGATATAGATGTCGGCCTTGCGTAGACTTGTAGAGGCCACCCTAGGCTACATTTTAGTACTTTTTAATATAGAGTTCACTATAGAATTTAAGAGAGTGGGCTTCGAATTCTTTAAACATTCATTTAGCAAACAGCATGGAAATCTTAGGTTTTTAATGCCTTATATAGGAATCGATAGAGTAACTAAGGCTCTACATAATGGTGAAAACCGCAGCTCGCTAGCTACTTCTGTTCTCAAGTTATTCGAAAAATTGCCGAGACCACTTTTTTTTTTAACAGACAATACATCGAATTACAAGTACCAGATTTTTCTGGCATGCTTTCTCATGGTCCTGTAACAAGTTTTCCGACAACAAACTTTTCTTAATGTAAAAGTTTCGAAATTTGATGTTTCAGTAGTGCATCAGAATCATTAAGTACAGCTCAATAATCTCTACAAGCCCGATGCTAAAATACTTAGCTCGTCACATTTGATGAAGATTTTACTAAGTATTTTCGACGTATTTTTGACGAAAAAATCGCTTTTTTCAGATTTTTCCTCAAAAAATCCATCTTCTAACCCTTTTAAAAGGCGTCAAGGTTAAAATAATCTTGGTGACAGACTCCGAAAGACTGTACCAGAAAAATTCCGTATGATAATTCGATGTAGGTTTGTCACTTGTTTTAAATGGTGAAAACCGCAGATCTTGATCTAGTTCTCATCAAAAATTATCGCCGAAATAGTCGGTGACCGTATAATTCGTCGCGTACAATTCGTCGCGAACAATTTGTCGTGTTCTGTTCGTTGCAGAACAATTTCTTTCGTTCTGTTTATCCTTATCTACTCTATCTATTCCTCTTAGTTAATTCTTTTTTTTTTCAGAAACGTGAAATTGACCAATTAATTCATCCATCTTTATTTAGCGGGGTATATACACAACATAAGGATGAACAAGTTGAGAACAAAAAAAAGGAAACGAAAAAACAAAAAAAGAAGAAGAAAAACAAAAATGAACGAATAATCTTAAGGAAACCAATAATCTAAATAGAAAAAAAATAATTAAAGAAAAAAAACTTACCTACAGGGTAACATTGGCTGCCATATTTGTTAAGAATTGGTCCAGTTGAGATGAATCGTAAGCATTCACCAGTCGAGTAATACGTTCGTCCAATCTTCGATAACATGCTTTCTTCGTCTTGATATCATGAACTTGAAGAATTTTGGCTGTTTCAACTTCGAATTTGAATTATTCACGACGAATTTTCTCTGTTAACTTGATAGTCGTTGGATGACTAATTGAGACACGATTGGCAAATGCATTATGCCAGCCTTCCACCGAATTGTTTGAACGAGGTACAGCGGCGGCAAATCGATCATGAATATTCCATAATTTGTGATCAAAAAGAGGCTTCTTTCCACCAGTTTCTATGAATGTCAAATGCATTTCAATTTTTTTAATAAATAAAAAACAATTACCTCTTCTTTTTGGTCCACCAATCCAAGTTTTTTCGAAATATTCAAATAGATCGTCGGTCTCTTCGTCGAATTCATCGGCAATTAACTCAAATGCAGTTGTGATGTCATCTACTGCCCATGTAAACACGAAACGCAAGATTTGTGCGTTTAACCGCATTTTTGTTGTGAAACGCGTCTAGGCGCGGTGAAAAACCATTAAAAGTTGCGTCTCAATGCGATTTTGTACAAATCGCGTCTGAACGAAGTTCAAATAAGGCTTCAAACGCGTCTGGATGCGTTTTATTTTGAAATCGCGTCTCCAGTGAAACATTTTTTGCGTTTAGACGCGATTCGAACTGAAATCGCATCTCGCTGCGATTCTATCGATGTTTGCGTCTGACACCTTTTTGAGGAGAACCGCATCTGAACGCGGTTTTATCTGAAAACGCGCCTCCAGTGAAACATATCTTGCGTGTGGACGCGATTTTAATTGGAATTGCGTTTGAATGCAAAAAATGTTTCACATGGATGGCGCTTAGACGCATTTAATATCTTCGAATAAGATATAAACGAAACTTGTTTAGAAAATTGTTAATACAAAAACTATTTATACAATGTCTTTTTACTGACTAGGGAACATCTATCAATATTTCTATCAAATCAATCGACTTTCAAAAATGCCATTTCTCAACAGTTTTCAAAATTTTCATCATGAAAGAAAAAATCTAATTTTTAATAAAATACTGGAGACACTAATTTTGCAAAATAGATACCCTAAAACTGAAAGTAATGAAATTTTCAAAAAAAGATATGAACAATATTTTTTTTAAATAATAGTTATCATCATAAGTAATTTTTAAAATTATGGCACTGAATTTATTTAATGCACAATTTTCTTGGATGAGTATAGATGTTGTGGTATGCAATAATAATTAATATTGTTGTACATATGTTGGAAGAAAAATTAAAATTCATGAAAATTTCAAATTTTCTTAGACAGAGTTAAATTTAATTGTTCCTATAGAAATATTTAAAATTATTCTTAAGAAAATATAAAAATTGCAATTTTTTTCTCCGATAATTTCAAATTTTCTGAATTTTAATTTTTCCTCAAACATCTACACTATTTTATCTATTCATGCGCTTGTAAATAAGTTTCTAATAAATCATTCATATACAGAGTCTGTTTCATTTGATAACTAATGTGACCACATGTGGCTCAATGGTATGTACACTTGCTTTCTAATCGCTAGTTCACTTGTTCTAATCTCATTTCTATCATTTCAGAAACATCAAAATTCGAACTTTCCGTTGGCCTATAGTTAGGTAAAGACCATCAATAGGCAATATCGATGGCGACTCAGATCAAACCTGAGACGGATCGTAATACATTCTTAAAATTTGAAATATAGGTTCGAACGCGTCTAGATGCGACTTTACTTTGAATCGCATTTGGACGCGATCTTGTCAGAAATCGCGTCTGAACGAGAATTAATGTCGAATCGCATCTAAACGCCATTTGATTCAAAAAATATTTACATGGGTACTCGGGCCAATCTGGGGGTTATCAAGGATGCTCTTTCATATGGCCCGAATAACTCTAAATTCCGTCCTTAATGGTCGCTCATATTTAAAATTTGTTAGTTTATCAGTGAGAGTGATCATTTGACCCGAACATGGTCAGTCAATTCAACTTATAGTACATGCCCCTTCATTGTTAGTTGAAATTTTCTTTATTGAATTAAGTAAATAAGCATCTTTTAAATACATGTTGTGCACCATTCAATTTTCCAACAATAAAACAATATTAAACTTGCAGTATCTATTTCAAACAAGAGAAATTCATCAACTATTAAAAACAAGAAGTAATTCGTGGCATAGAATTAAGCTGAATTTTGAACAGTTTCTTCATGACATAAACTATTCTGACATGTATGTTGTATAAATACCAGTTTTCAAAACATAGTCGAAACTGAAACCGACAGCACAGTTTCGGTTTACAGTTAGTAAAAACAAAAGTTCCAATTTTGATTCCTAAAAAATATCTCTCGAACTCACAATCTAATTATAGCATACCAGTTAACTGATATAATTATTTTTTCTAGAAATTTCTAATTCATTGTTTGAGATTGTTAACTTCGCTTATTTTTGACAGAACGATTTCGGTGAAAAACAAAACAGCAAAGAGAAAGAATGAGAAAATCATAACTATTAATCAGCTTTATACTCTTTGGTTGATAAAGAATCATATTGAACTAAAACTTTGTATGAATATATTGGGAAATGTTCAAGTACACATTATCTTCTTCTTAGTGAAAGTTACGGCAGTTTCAGTATATTTATAAAACTTCTTTTGTTTTTTTAATGTCTATCGCATATCCAATGGTATTCACTCTTATTCTTCTTTCGCTAATCTTGAGCCAGACACTAATTGAAAAAAGTTCAAAATAAAGTTGAGAAATTTCATTAAAAATTACTAAATTTTGTTCAAAGGAAAAACGTTATTTTTTTGAAAAAAAAAGATTTTTCAAACAGAGAAATATTAGTTTATCTCTTACCGTAACAAAGTATTACTGGAGATGTATCATCTGACAACTGTTATAAGAAAAACCGATCTTTTTCGGCAAGAAACGCCTTTTTTTTTTTCTAGACTAAAAGTCGTCTTTTATGGCATAAACCTTGCTTGTTTCAACAACATTCTTTGAAGTTCTTAATATATTCCTTTTGAAGATCTTCCCAGACTTTGCTACTGCAAACTCAATCATGATATAGCAAAATATGAGCAGTTATTACTTGAAATATTACATGAATATGAGTACCGATTAAGTTGAACCAGTTTTCAAAAGAATATCAATTCAAGTCAATATTAAACTTTTACGTTTATACTATGCGAAAATTTGATTTAGAGTGTTGCAACACGCTAGTCGAATACCTGTATTCAGTATAGGTGTGAGTATAATACAGGTCTGAATAGTAACGGTTTGCAGAGATACAAACTTCATTTCTAACAGTACAATTCATAAACAATTTGAAAATGCGTGTTTTAAATGATGGTGTTTAATAACAATATCCTTGATCACATAGTTGATTGGTCGCTCTGTTAAATCATCATCGATGTGTTATAGTAATGCAACTTACGAGTCGGATACCCGTATCTTGGTAGAAGTAGAG